TTTCTCAAATATTTTTGTTTCTTTCTAACTCTACTGTCATTTTCTCAGTGTAGACCATTACTCTGTACGAGCTAAATTCCCACAAATATACTGTCCCTGATAATCTTGCCTTTAACTTTATTGTGTCCCTGCCCATCTTCTGTCCTGCAGCCCACTTCTTCCCATTCTCTTAGGACTCAGCCTATCAAGACTATTCATTCTTTTCCTTCTCTCATGCCGTTCTCTTTTGAGCACTCTGGCTTGCCACTCAAGCCTCAGCAGAAAGAATAATCTATCTTAATCCCAAATGTAAAAGTGTATCTGTATCATTGCTCAAAATTCTGTAAGACTTCCCTCTACATATTGAACAAGGTGTGACTTCTTTCTGTTAGTGACAAAACTCCTCATCCCTTGTGCACATTGAGTAGTCTTGAGTTACACATTTCAGCTCTACTGGATGTGCTCAGCTCTGCAGGATGTAAGGTATTCTTTCTTCTCCCTGAAGTTCTTTATATATTCCATTTCCTCTGCCAGAACACTTGAAGATGGTTTCTTCCACGAAGTGTACCCTGGAGTTTCCTTGAGTGTCTATGGAAGATTTTTATCTTCCAAAATCGCTACAACAATATCTTCAATGCACACACTTTTTAAAAACTTTTTTATTTTAAAGATAATAAAAACAATAAAAGTGATACAGAATTTCAAAATAAGAAAATAGGAAATTAACAATGGTTATTATATTGCATATTGTTATCTTCAAAATAGTTGCTCAGATTACCAGATATAGACATGAAAGATTGATCAAACAATATAATCACTAACTGTTCCTTTCAATGACCTAGTAGAAATTAATAGCACAATTATCTTAGCTATCATATATAATATATATGTATGTATACCTATATGTATATATATTCTTCCTTCTTTTCTCCTTTCCCTCGTCCCAGTTGTTCTTTCCTTTTGAGCAGTTTCTTTCCCTTTCGCAGTGTCTATTGTACCTTTTGTATCTTATTTACTCTTTCAGTTTCTTATACTAGGAAGACAATACGATGTTTACATATGTGAGTCTGAGTTATTACAATCCAATTTTTATAATCCTCCCAATAAGAAATGCAGGCTATATCCCCTGCCTTACAGTCTGGCTAGGTTCTCCATTCGGTTATAACCAATAAGATGAAATACTATAATAATGTACAATTTTCTGAAGACAGATCAGTAAAAGGGATTCCACTTCAATCATTGAAAGACTTTGGCTGAGAGCCTTGAGTTGCCGGGTAAGCAACCCAAGTCCTCCAAGATTTCCATCTTGTGAGCAAGTGACCCACATATAGGAGACACACAAGCGTAACCTTTGAGTTCTCCCAGCACAAGGGCCGTGCATGTGAGTGAAGGAGCCTTTATACAACCCAGTCCATGGGACCATTGCAAACTTTTACATCTTCTCAGATAAGGTACCAAACATCAGGGAGCAGCTAATTACCCCACCATGTTCCCTTTCTGAATACCTAACTCATAGGATGTGTGAGCACAACAAAATTATTGTTATTGCACTCCATTACTTTGGGAGTAGGCTATTAAGCATCGGTAGTTACTGGACTATACCTCTAGTACTAACCCCAATGTAGTAAATGTTATGAGTTGTCACTTCCTGTGTAAATAAATTAATTTCCTCTAGACTTGAAACTCCACTATGATTCTATATTTAGCTTGCACCTGGTGTACAACAAATTCTTTGTATTTATCTTCCTAAAACGTCAAGAAACTTCAACTAGCAACCTTTAAATCATTTTAAATTTTTCTCTTACACCTCCAAGTTATACATGTTATATTTTGTAAATGTATTTCAAATCTGTCCTTTCTTCTTTTCTTTGATTCTTAGACAAGTTTTTCATCCTTTGTTGGTAAGAATACTGAAGAGCATTTTATTTGACCTTATTGCCACACTTCCTCCCAAAGTCTTATGAAATACTAAAGGACAATGTCATTTTCTCCTGCCAACCAGGAAAGGGTAATTTTTCTTACCTCACGCTACCAACCTGTTCCAGTCTTGCCATAGTCTGCACACCCAAGATCATCTCTTGCCCTCCGTCTCACACATTGTACTTCCAGGTGCACTGCATGTATCACCATCACCTCTAGGATAGCATAAATTTTCTACTGACAGCTTTAAATTTCCATTTCTATTGCCCTAACTTCTGTCTCATAAATCCTTGAATCTGCCAATCAAATAACCTCTCAACTCCTCAGGAAACCTCGGTTATTCATCGTCTATATCCACATAGGACTCTGTTCATACCTCTATTCTTCTGATTGTCATAACATGTTTTAATTTATCTTTTATTTATTTTACTCACTCGAATTCTTCAAAGTAACACAAATATAGCATTAATTCCATGATGATCCAACATTTACCATAGTTTACAGGACATGATACATTCTTAACTAATGTTTATTGAATAAATAAATAAGTAAATGCTTCCATACAGAAATATCATATAAATTCAAAGCTGATCAATATTTGGGTGGAGGCTTGAGTGGGGAGCTAGGGGGAAAATTCACTAGCAAGCATTCCAAAAGTACTACATTATCACAGTAGTGATTTCTTTTTTTTTTTTTGGTTTTTGTTTTTTTTTCCAGTACCAGGAATCTAACTCATGACCCCGCCCTTGCCAGGCAGGCACTGTGCCACTGAGCTAAATCACCAGCCCCTAGTAGTGATTTCTTTACTTTGCTAAAATGACCATGTGCAAGCCTTAGAACAATGCTAAGAGAGATGGAGCAAGTCATGGGAAAAGAATTTGCATCAATAAGAGGTGGCCCTTAAAAATCTGTTCTTCCTGTATAATCGAGATGAATTGTGGGCTTTTACTACTTCTAAGTGGTAAAGTACAATACTGAAGGCAATAGTTTCAAGTCAAGGCAACAGGTACAGTGAAGGTGAATGGGATACATGGGAAGGGAAAAAATACTGCACTTGAAGTACTTTGTTCTAGAATTCAGTTGGTCTGTGGTGTTGAAGGACTGGCTGAGGAAAGAGCATTTGCTAGACTCAAGCATGACCATCATGACTTTTCTGAACTTCAGTCTCCTGTACCAAATCTTTGGGGTCCCAGAAGAGAAAGACTCCCCATAACATGTCAGGATCCTAATTAGCTCCAGTGAACCATAGGCTGAAGCGCACCAACATGTGTCATAAACATTACCTGAAACACAGATAAGACCAGTGAGGCTGGGTCTGTGGAACTGGCCTTCCTCCGTTCTGCTCCTAGTCATCAGCACTGCCCCATGACTTGCTGAGCCTAGCCCAATAATGAGCCTATCACTTGAGCATCTACTTTCTGCAGCAACAGTGATGGTCACGATGAACAAATTCAAACCTTTCAGAAAGTCATAATGTGGATCACAAATTATCATACTTTTCATGATCACAACTGCTGCAGTTACAAAGGGAGAAATACACTGTGTGTCATTTTCCCCTGATGCAATAGATTTTATAATCCCAAGAAGTCCCTATGGCTAGGCTCACCCCAGTTCTCCAGTAGGATGCAAATATCAGAAAGCATAATGGAAAAATAATGACAACAGCTAATATTTATTGAGTAATTACTATGGGTCAAGTGGCAATCTCACTTTTGATATGCATTAACTCATCAGATCTTCCTAACAGTTCCTTCTGAAACAAGTATTAAAAATACCATTTTATAGATTAGGAGACTGAGGCACAGAGTTGTTAAGATTTTGCCCAAAGTTATTCAGATAGTAAGAAATAGATTACACACAAAAATACCCTAACTCCAGACTTATATTCTTAACCACATGCTATAGCAAATTGGGGTTCTCCAACTAAATTTAAAAGGTGGAAAATTAATTAAAAATTGCTGGTCCTCCAGCTAACCTAAAAATGTGAGAAGAGGTCCTTCGTCTTTAGGTCTCAAATGAAATTTTAAATCCACTTAGAAGTCTATTGTTATCACCCCAACTAAAGTAGCTCAATCTAGTTCATGCAACTATCTCCTTCTCACACTGCCCACCAATTACAATCATTGTAATGAGCCATATAAGAAAACATCACATTTGTCAGATTTCTTCTCTTATCACTAGAATATAAGTTCTTTGAGGACAAGCACCACCTCTACTTGCCTTGGCTTTGTAGCCATCAAGTTTAGGTGGAGGTAAATGCTTATTTGTTGAGAGAGAGATGAACAGATGGATAAATGGATGATATTAGAGTCCAACAACTCAATTTGATTTAAGGAAATACTAATTTAAGTTCTCTAAGTATTTTATTAGCTTGTTTGCAAATTAAAGGGGATATATATTATCTTTTTAAATGCTTCCTAAACTCTGCTTTCCTCAGAGTCAGTGCTCCTTAAAATATCAGAAGGCGTAATGAAGAACACAGAAGTGCTGATTTCGTTGAACCATGAAGGCCAACATGGTTCTTCCTTACAATGATTCTCTACGACCCTCATTTTGTACATGGGACACAATAAGATTATAACACTACCAAGTGTTTCCCAATCTTACTTGACATAAAAATCCTTATCTTCCCTCAGATCACCCTATGATATATTAGATTTCCATGAAAAACATTTTGGAAGATGGAGTCTAAAAATTGTTACTCCTTTTGTTGTTATTCTACAATTACATAAATGAATCCTAGCAATGGCATTACTTGAAGCAGAACCAGGGAAGCCAAGTTAGATCCCAAATCATTTTGAATCTTATGGTAGAGTTAGAAAAATGTACAAAGTTTTCCTTTAACCTAGATAATTTTAATTTGTACCCTATGTAGAATGTCATGATCATGGAGAAATACACTGTAATCTGCTGATAACTAAATGATTTATTATGATAAAAATGTCTGCAGAGGAAACTCTCATCTTATTGTAATTTATATAGAATAATAAATTAGCATTGGATGCTTTTATAAGGTATCCAATAAAGTTTTAAATCATAAAAAATTTACAGATTATTAAGAAAATGAGTAGCATAACTAGCTCCATGCCTTCCAGTGTTTCAAACAGGAAGTTAAACTGGCTGTTGAAGTTGGTGGATATCCATTAAATTTTCAAACTGTTTTCCTACCTATTATGTGCAAGGTGCTTTATTAGACACAGTAGCTCACTTCCAGTGAACTTCTGCTTAGCCCAAATCCTGGGGCCTGTCACACTACCACTTCAATTCTACGGGAAAGTTTCTCTGGGAGGTATAATCTCAATGGTTATATCTGTTTTAGTGGAGGCAGCTCATCGACACTACCCCAGGATCACAACTGTGCTTGCTTTAACTTGATTCTGCGCAATGCCGTTAACAAGGAGAAATAGGCTGCAATGGAATAGCAGAAAAAGACTATAACATTCACCTAGTTATAACTGTATACTAAGATATGTATTTTACTGAGAAAACTAAAATATGAAGTCAAGAGTATTTGGATGTTTAATCTCATTAAAATGAATATGATAGTTTTTTCTTTCTTTTTGCCCAAGTATTGTGCCATTTTGTGGTGAAAACCTGTAGAGAAACCCTTGGAAATTCCCTGGGAATCTGGACTCTGAACATTCTGACTTAGCTATAGCAGTCAATTAAATGAATGATAGCTGAAAGAAATAAACATGCAATTCTTGGTTAAATGCTGCTCAGTTTTAGTCCACAACTCTGCACTGTATTTTGATAGGACCATGTGTTCTAATGTTCAAAAAGTTAAGCATCTGTTCATATTTTATATATGGCATAATTGTCCCTAACTTAGTAGTTTTCTTAATATGTATGATCTCCCCTATGTCTTATAAACTTAAATTGTTCTGTCCACTTTATAGAAGTATAATTAATTTACAATAAAATGTACATTTATTTTAAAGGTACCATTAATGAATTTTAACACATGTACACATTTGTTTAACTACCATCCACTCAAGACGTAAGTTTTCTTGACAGATATTCAAGAAACTTCCCAAGAGCTTCTCTCTCCAGACCAATTAGGCCTGATTTATACTACCAGAGTAATGGGCCTAGCCTAAACTCGTAACACAGATTCCTATCTACATTTGAGTGTGTATTCAAGAAACTCAGATGTTAAAAAGCCTTCCTACTCAAAAAGATTAAGAACTACATGGCTAGACTGAGGATCCCTTCTTCCCTCATTGTACCAATTTAGAACTTAAAATGTAACTTAAGAACTTAATACTGAAGGCAGAATACATCCTGAGCATAATTACTACCTGGTAGAAAAATCTGTACATTGGCAATGAAAATTTGGTGGGCAGGATAGAGGTTTCTATCACTCCAGCAAACGTGCTGGCCTATGGTTCCTTTTTGGTTAATCTCCCCATCCCTGCTGCAAGTGACCAAAAATAATCTGATTTTAATAAGTGAGAGTAATTATCATCTGTTTTAGTATTTTATTTTAATGGAATAATACCATAAATTTATTTTTACATACAAAAATAAATATCCCTTACCCCACATCTGTGCTGAAAATCATGACATGAAACTCTAGAATATAAAACCCTGGACTGTTTTTTTTTTTTTTTTTTTTCGGACTTATTTCCTGAGAATCTAGTCCATTTCCTGCAAATGCCTTATTTGGAAGATATGATCTACAAAATTTAATATATCATGCAGAGTTATTTATAGATTGTAAACCATCTAACCTTCCTTTCCAAAATTTGATTATAATTTCCTCTTCTTAGCCAGAAAAAATATTTATAGTATTTGCAATATGCTTAAATGTGTAGTAGTGCTGTGTCTTTTATTTCTTTTATTTAATAGGGTTCTTAGTCTGACTTACTCCCAGTGTCATTAAGAACAGTCATATCATTCCCCTGTCTATACACTTGTAATCGTTCCTTTTTCAAACTTTAAAACTTTTTCCCTTTGACTCATTTTATTAGCTTATTTTTCACACTTGGTTTTTTTGTCTTTTGGGGTTTTTTCACAGTTATACCAGTGGAAACTTAAAGTTTTTCTTAAAATAGAAGATTCTGAAGCATACTTCCCAGCATCAGTTCTGATACACACCTCAGCGATTTCCCTGCATCTGCAAAATAGAAGCAAGCTGTATATGAAGAAGTAAGTGGAAAAAAGAAGAAAGAAAATTATGCTTATTGCCGTGCAGTCAGAATCTCCCAGCTCTGTTTTAGACTGAAGGGGGCATACACAAACAGCAAAGTAAACACGACTGTCAACAGCACCATCCAAACCGATCCCATATGGCTAATGTGTGTCAACAAAGCAAACCCTGTTTAAGCAAAGCAACGTAAAATTACAGAAAGATTCTGCCAAAATCTGGCTGCCTGCAATCCACCCCCACACTTCAGGAAATAGAAAGATTCTCTGAACACATGAGAGATAAAGAATGGCAGCTCCGGCCCCAGTGCTGTGCTTCAGAGCAAAGACCATACCTGAGGCCAGAATTTGAATGGCTGGGGGCTCCATCTATCCATTTCAGAGATGTGCTTCAAACGGGAGACTGACAAGAAGTACGTCAGAAAGGTAAATAACAACAGTCATCAGGGTGGTAATGGCCATATGCAACCGAGTATTTTCCTGCTCGAGACACTATAGAGGCAGCTGTAAAAATAAGTTTTTAATAGATTGGTAAGCTAAGGCTTAGAAAAATTAACTTTCGTGCCCATGATCACTTTGGTCAGTAGATAGCTGAGCTTTTCTCATCACTTCTTTCAAACTAGTTACCATATGTGTATACTTAGCACATGCCAAGCATGGTACTAGGCCCTTTAAAGATATTAAACCACTAACTACTTACAGAAGTAGATATTATCATCTTCACTTCACACAGGAGGAAGTGGAAATCTAAAGAGGTGAAATAATGATTGTCAAACTGCTAGCAATGGCCGAACAAGGACCAGAGCCAAGGATCAGCTGACTACAAAGCCAGGTTCTTTCAGAAAAGTCCATTCTTTTCCATGCCTATGGTTCCAGTTATCTGGGAATTTCTTGCAAAGTAGAAAGTGAGCCCGTTCTTTAAAGGCAGGATGAATAACTATGTGGCAGTGTTCACCAGCACTGAGCTATAAAGTTTATAGATAAATTTTATGTAAAACATGGTGGCTGCATTATTTAGTTTCCACAAGGAAGGGAAAATGACAAACAAGAAAATTTTCTGACCTAAACTATAAGCATCTGTTTCTATGTATAAAAATGAAATACTTATATGCATGTAGAAACAGTACCTTTCTGATCAACTGTTTTTAAGCAACAGAAAATATTCTCCAATGATGAGCACAGTTAGGAAAACAAAGTGTGTCTTCTTCAGAATACAGGAGTTTGAATTCAAAGTCTTCATGACTTTCAAAAGAAAAAGAAAGTCATTCTCATTAATGAACATATGACTATTTTTAAATATCAAGTATAGATTATTTGGCTAACATCAAATTTTCATGAATCAGTTAATATTAACCACTTTATGAATGTTGAACTGGATTCAGAAAATATGGCAATTTTGTATCTAGGATTTCAGAGGTGTTTAACTAAGTAATAAGAAAGGTAACTCAAGAATAATAATTGGAGCCTAATTCTATAAATCTAGGCCCACTGATGACATTACTTTCACCAAAATAAAATGTTAGATATACATACAATTTTCTTAACAATATCTACTCTGAAGTGAACTACAGAAAGAAGAGCAACTGACCCTGCTGAGAATTTGCACTTGTTCTGCATTTCTCTGCATATGTTCAGAATCACAGCCCTGAGCAGGGTTCATGTTCCCGTGTGATTTTCGGCAAGCCATCTCAGCTCGCGTTATCAGAAACAGATGACAACGGGCTAAAAATATTTCTAAATAATGCTAACCCAGCAACAGCCCAGCTGAAAACCCGCTGACTCATCCAGATTAGTAAATCCTGCTGAGAAATGCTAAAATAGACTAACCTTTGCGTCAACTGTCTTGTGATGCTTTTTTATCAGAATCAAGACTTCTGTGCCAAGTAAGAGGATAGAATGGCAACCATTAGAAATTACTGGAGAAGCTGACGGACACAGGGTTCACATCAGTCAAGCTCAAGCCCCTTCCATCTTCCAAGCCCTCACAGGATGGAAAGAAATATTATAGGAAAACCACGTATGTTTTTAACAATAATTTTTCAGATTAGAATCTTAAATATTTTAACACTGATCTTCAATGAGTTATTCCTCTATTTTTACAAGAGAACTTAAGAGAAAAAAGACATAAAACCAAGTGATGTCTTCTGAAACTTTCGACCCTGTTGTAGAAAACTTTCCTCTCCAGAACCAGCTTGTGCCTTTGCTCCATATGACAGCGCGCACAGAAGACCGAGCAGGGCCAACTCTGATCTCCACCCAGCAGGTACTGAGAGGCGGGAAGGTGGAGCTGACCACACGCGGGCAACAAAAACTACTGGAAGATACCAGATCGGAACTGAGTTGTACTAACTGACTAGGCAAAACAACGGACAACGTCCAAAACAAGTAACATGAAGTGACAGCTCCACTGAGAATTGCAGGAACTAAAAGAGAAGAGAGTCACCTCTTGCTCGTAGTAATTTCTCCAGCTAACAGCTGGATTCCATTCCTCAGCTGGCACTTTGTAGAATAAGATCTCTACTTCCTGTTACTAATAATGCTACCTGCAAGAAAGAAACACAAAATCTTCCACCTTATCAAGCCACAAATCTGAAACTGTCATACAAGTGCTGAGCCAATAATATTTATTCTGGGTATTTTCAACAGTAATCTCTTGTGAAAGTAAGCACAACTTTATAAGAAAAAATTACTTGTATAAAAATTTGAAACATCATCATAGACTTGTTTTATAAAATAAGTTTGTAATCTCATCTAAGACAATTTTTGAGCCTTCTGAGATTTATGTATTACTTACTTGGGGGATGTTTCATGTTCTCCAGAGATTTTTTTCTCTCTGACCTTATCCAAGGGACAATAATGTAGTTGAATATTTATCCTATTTTTATAATTATATGTACTCATTTTTATGTATTTATTTTATTTTTTGATGCTGTTATTTTTTTCTTCAATTTGTTGGGCTTCAGGTTGTCCCACATGGATGTTGAAAAATTTTTTCTAGGGGCTGGGGATTTAGCTCAGTGGCACAGCGCCTGCCTGGGGAGAGCAAGGTTGTGAGTTCAGTTCCCGGTACCGGAAAAAAAAAAAAAATTATTTTCTTTTTTTCAATTGTTCAGCAACTAAAGTGTTCACTTTGTGTGAAATGAGAGTCCATGGAGGAAATCGGTCCTCGGTTTCCCTCTACATGAGACTGTTTCCCATGCAACAAAGTGCTTTCCCACCAACTCCCACCTGAAAGGATTCTAAGTCCTCTCTTGTTCTGCTGAAGCTTGGGTAATCATTTCTCATGAGACAACAAAGCCAAAATCATTCTTGCTTAAGACTGAATATTCTTTTTTAATTTTTTTATTACCACATGTTTGCAATACATGCAATTTACAGTCATCTAGGGGAGTGGATACATGTGCATAATATAACCTGATCCTTTTTTAATCCCTCTCCCTCTCACCTCACTCCCTCTGCCTCTAAATCCCCTTTTCCCATCTTCATTCTTGCTGATATTATTAATGAATCTTCTTATATTAAGCAAAAGCTGTTACTCCTGATCCTGTGTTACGTCACAACCTGCCTCTATCCAGTTGGCTGAAGCTTTCAACATAGCAGTCAAAAAAATTAAAAAATAATAAAGACCAGTCTTCTATTTAGAATAAGCAGTTGAGGAACAAAATCTTACTTTTACTCATTTAGATACCTGAGATTCAGTAGGTGTTTGAAAATGAAGAGAAAGTAATATCTCAAACTGCATGAAGCATTGCTCAATATTCTATAATCAGTGTGATAGCAAAAAGGTTAATTGAATGAAGAACTGCCATTCTTAATCTGGTGGCACAAAGCTGGCAGCAGTGCACAGTAGGTATTACAGCTAGGTCCTGGGCCCTACACTGAGATAATGTCTGAGCTGCCTTGGCTGTACTGTGTATTTGCTGTGTGACTCCGAGTAAGATACTTAATCTCTCTGCGCTTCAACAGTTTTATGCATGAAGTAGGATGGCTATTCCCACCTTATGGGTTTATTGTGAGAGATAAGTGAAATAATGCTCATAAAATTTTGGCACATCTTATGTGTCTGATAAATGTTTTGTTGTTGCTATTGCTCCCTTCCATGTGAGCTAAAGGTATTTGTAATGAGCTGAAGTGAAGAGAAAGCAATTATTATGGAGATGAATCTTTACCTCCTGCCCTTTTGCTGCCTCTGCCTGGAGCCCCAGCACCTTGCTCTGCCAATTCCACCTCAGCAGGCAGCTGTCTTCCGGTCTCTAGCTTGGCTCTTCTGGTCTCTAGCTTGGCTCTTCCTCTTCTAGGACACACTTCCTTAGACACCCAAACATACCATCCCTTGCTCAAAATGCTACCCTCTCGATGAGGCCCACCCTGTATAAGGTTGTGACCCTGCCCCCTCCAGTCCTCCCTCCCAGACACTCCTCATCCTTCTAACCCACCTCTGGGTTTGTGTTTTTCCTTAACATCAGCACATTCTTAATTCGCTTGTTTATTAATCTATTAATTCATGCATTCCCTAATTCTTGAGGCTTACTCTTTACTGTCAGCCTTCCCTTCTACACTAATGTAAGTGCTAATAAGTGGGAAATTATTTATGTGTCTTATTTGTTCATGTATCCCAAGTGCCTAAGTCATACACTGTATGTGTTTAATAAATACTATTTTCTATTTTATACTTTGCTAGTGTTTTAATCTTGTCTTCTGTAATTTCACACAATCCCAGAAAGTCAAAATAGAAGAAAAGATTAAGACTAGATGTCTCCTTCAACTACTACATACATGATTTTTAACATTTTCCTAAGGTTTTTCAAGTTTAGCGGGTAATTTTAGACTCACAGGAAAGTTCCAAAAATAGAACAGAGTTCCCATATACCCTACACATGGCTTACCCTAATGAGAACACTTATATAATGGTATATCCATCATAAGTAGGAAGTTAAAGTTCTGCTAATAATTTTTAACAAGTTAATAACTGTGAAGCACCAAAACATCTATGAAATTTATGCTCCTGTTCTCTTATCAATGGATTCAGAATAGATGATGACATGAGCAGAATGTCCTAAACCTATTTCACTTCCTCTCTGTTTTCTCTGTCATCTTAAAAATCCTGTATGTGGGAAAAAAAAACTATTGAAAAGCTTGGATTGCTAAATTTGCAAAAGATTTTCCCACCAAAGTCTAGAAGACCTTTGAAAAATCACCTCGTCAACCCCTGTAAGAATATTCTATAAACGCCTAGTAAATCACCAGCTGAAAAGAAATGCTTGTTCATTTCTAAAATAGCTAGATAAGGCACACAGAGAACATATAACATTATTCTTAATGAGAAGCTTGTTTTGTCTCTAACATTTAAATGTTTATTCAGTGCCCTGGGAAATGGTTCTAGAACGCCAAGGTGTTGACAAATTGCTAAGGACTGTGTTAAACATCCTCATTAGCTTAAACTTAGATAAAGTAACTCACAAAGCAGCCCCCACGCTTCGCAGTTTGTCAGCAGGGGATCTGTGTACTACAGCTATAACTTTTCCCAGCCCACAGCAAAAGCAGCTGGGAAGAAACAAATGTGTGATGGCATTTGATCTGTGACTAAATTAAGCCCGATGGTACAGCTGGGGCTTTAGCAAGACATTCCGCATTTGCAGGAGCTGCGACTCCTCTTCTGTGAGCATCTAAGACTGTAACAATCAAGCTTGAGCTGTTCTACCCTTCCACACTCCTGTTAGTTAGCTCCTTCTCCATTTTTCATGACCTGTAGTGGGGGTTTTTGTTTATTAAATGATATTCACTAATTCAACTATCATTTAGACACAAGTTGTCAAAGAGACTTACATGCACTAGTTTATTCCATTCCCACCACAACCCTGAACACCATTACTGTATCACTGAATATATAAAAAGTGGAAATTCAGAAACCTTAAGAAACTTGCCTTCATAAATATTTCTGGCAAGTATCACAGTATTAAAATTCAAACCCATGTGACACTGAAGTTGTCTACCTTTTTATGATCTGCTTTTATTATGCTTCATTTCAAGAAAAATGAGTTATGAATTTGCTCTCTTTTCAGTTTAATGAAATCAAATACATTTGATAAATCTGTGTTTATTGGATAAGAGTACACCATGACTGAAACTAAGCCAAACTGATGGATCCTGAATGCCACTGATTGGTCATTGTGCAGTAATGAGATGGTAGGTGGGAAATACAGAGACATTTGTCTTTTCTTCAATGAAAGACAGGGGGTTTGGAATAAGAAACTAGGCCCTGCATTAGAAAGCCTGCCTCACTGAGATATTGTGATAACAAAATGACGGGTTATGCAACAGGAAAGTTTATCCAAGGAAAGGTATCTTTCTGTGTCTATCATATGTGATACAAATTGTGGTCACTTTACATAAATTTGTGACCCTTAGGTAGGGAAGGTATTTGGGGCAAGGTGTTGGGAGGAAAAAAGAAGCATTTTCTTACTTTCTGCAATTATTTTAATCATAATTATCTACTCTGAATTTCAAATGTCACAAAAAGAGGCCATGAAATTTACATTTACTGTATTAAACAAGGGCATAAAATGATTTAATTTGTGTGGCACTTTTGATACTTGTTAAACAAGAAAAATAATCTTACCTGTAAGAACTGAGTAAGATAAATGTTAACACACTTAGGACATTACTTGATATATTTTAATTACTGAAAAAAATTAGTTATTGTTGTTTTTATTACTGTGTTATTTTTATTATTGTGCTATTGTCATTATTATTGATATTTTGTAAAGTTTTAGAACCTTTGATACATACCTGGGCCTCACGTTTTCGCTCATCTACAATGAGCACAAACTTTAAAGTCCTTTCTAGATACTGAATTCTAAGATTTAAAACTCTCACTGCTTGAATATTTTAAATTCACCCATTACATGAGGATTTTAGGCCTCTAATTTTTTTCTATATAGCTTGTATATTCACCTTAAAAAGTTGTGTGTGTATTTGTATCTAGAGTGTATGTGTTATCCAGTGGAAAACTCTGATCCAATTAAAACTTATTTTTTAAAGTTCAAAAACAAAAAATACTAACCTTTAAAATGTTAAAAGATACTATTTTTGCTTCAGGCTGATAATGCATTAAATTCAAGATACATTAAAGTCATTTCAGAGAAATCTAAATAAATGTGTTCTCACCAATATTTATTGCCTTCTATATTTTGAAGTGCTAACTTGTTATTATTCTATGAAGCAAATAACACTAAATTTAAGCCATACCCCAAAGAGTTCATATAAAAATGTAATTTTTCATAATCATACTTTTGTGCTTAAAATATGATATTTTCAGCTATTTTCAAATAGTTCCTAAATAATAGTTTGCTTTGGATGATTGATTACAGGAACTTTGCACACACAGTACCTCTGAAGCATGACCTTTTAAATCATATACTCCTTATATGTGTAATGTTTAAAGCAAAATTCATATCATCACACAATTTAGCATTTAGAGATGGAAAAAAATTTACATGGATCCTCCTGATACCTCTGCAACTCAAAACTATGACCAAATCTTAGTAATGCCATATGTACATGGCTATCATAGCTCATTAATAATAGGGACAAAAAATTTTGACATTGCTTATTCAAGGGCATATGCAAGGGAATCTACACCCAGTGATAGAAGGTGGTGTGTACAGCAGGGTATTCCATTCTATGTGAATTTTCAGAGACTTCTGTGAGAATGCATTCCATGAGCTCCTTACTATAAGACAACAAGCACCATCTTCTGTCCCTGTCTCCCTGCCCACTGATCTTCTCAGTCACTTTCTTCACCCTTCTTCCTACAACTTCTCTGGAAACCTATTCATGATCCCCAAGGCCCAGTCCTTTTTTAGTTCTTATATCAGTTAGTGCTTAATAGAAGAACAGATTTAATGCAAGAAATATAAATATATAAGAATTTATAAAATTGGCTTACCGTGGCCGTCCACAAAGTCAGGTATGGAAGAGTGTATGAGAGCTGCCTGTGCTTTAGAGCTCTGAAGGATCCAGTCAAATATCAGATGCCTGGATCTCATTATAGTGTCCCATGTGAGTCTGTACTAGGAGGTCAAAGGGTCTGTGCTGGAGGCTGAAGAGTTTGTGCTGGAAGCCAGGAGACAACTCCCAAAGTCAAGGTGAAGACTGGAGCTCCTCCAAAGAAACAGAGAGAAGCCTTCCTTATTCATTTCTCTTTTGCTCTGTTCAGGCTACAAGTCCATTGCTTGGTGCCACTCACACCCAAGGTGGGTCTTCTGTCTTCAGCCATACCCAGAAATATATGGATTAATTAGTTGGATGTTTCTTACTTAATATGATGCAATCACTTAGGTATTGCAATTCTAAACATTTTCTGGGTTTTTTCAACCACTCTCTTGGCTTCTGCTACCACCTTACAGTGGTGGACTCCAAAGTCATATCCCTTATATGTACATCCCTCATGAATAGCAGATCTATTCAGCCAGTGACCTAGTAGACACTTCAATTCAGATACCCCACAGGTAAGCAAAGTTCCACCTGCCAAGATGATTTCAATGTTTTGCCTTTCAAACTTCATATTGATATTATATACTCTCATCTTGATTAATGACACTAAATTCCTTAGTAATATTTCCTCATGTGTATAATTTAATAAGGTGAACTTAGTATTTATTTTGTAAACCTTATTAACCCATGAGATCAAAATTAATAAAGCATCACTGAAAGACTAAGAAAATCAATAAGCTAATGAATAAAGTAGATGATATCTGCAGAGAACTAAGCAAATCTAAGTGAACTAAGCATTACTGAGGTGAATAAAACTCAAATGACCAAAAACAGGACTGGAAAATAGGTAAGCAGAGATCTATGGAGTGCAGCGGGAATGCAACTCTTATAAAATTAAATGTTTAATATTATCAAATTACTTTCTATATAAGAGAAATAGGACATAACTTTTAAATAGTTGGTACATTCACTATAATATTTATAATACCAGCAAGAAAAAAGCACAAAATGTGTTTTATAAAACATAAAATCCAACTTTAATGATCCATGTAATATCCTTAAATGTGAAAACAACACTCAATAATTTACCCTTCGCAGATATGCAGAAGAACTACTTAAGGACATTCTTCAGCACCAGAAAAATTACCTCAGAAGCAACAGTAAGAAAAATTAGTGGTTATTTATATATACAAGTGTAGTTTGTCTATAACATTTGTTAATAATTCTAAACATTTTTAACATGAAAATTACAAAATGAAGGAAAGAAGGAGGATGCTTAGGTGCATTGTCTTAGTTTGAAAAATATACTCTGACAAAGTGAACTTTGAGGAGAAATATACTTTACTCTATGAACTTACAATTTATGAGTAACATTATAAAAGCAGTTCTGCTTTGTCACATGTTCCCCGCTATGGTATTCTGTCAAAGGTCCAAAGTAACAGAACCAACCAATCATTGGTTACAACTTCCAAAATTTGTGAGCCAAAAACAACCTTTTATCTTCATGAGTTTATTACCTCAGATAGTTGTTATAATGACAGAAAGCTGACTAACACATACAGTTGAAGTTCTTCAGAGACTTGAAAATATATTAAAGTATAAAGAATTCCCAAAACTAAAGTGAAAACTGCTGCACAAATATAGTACTGACTATTGTATAAACTCCTATAAACTAAGAAAAAAGAAGAAAAAAATTCATTATTTAGAAAGCACAAAATTGTAAAAAAAAAAAAAAAATATTTCAAAAATAAAATAAGTAGAAAACAAAATTGCAAAAATAAATCCAATAATATCAATAATAAAATAAATAAAAGGGTTAAATTCATCTACCAAAAATATTACAAAAAATACAGAAAAATTAAAAATGAGGCCAAGTAATTACCTAAAGTACATCTAGTTTGATAAAATGCAATTTAAGTAAAAAATTGTAAAGAATAATTTAGGTTTAGAAATGGAAAGTCATCAAAACACAAGAGAAAATAACAGAATGACATGGGTAAATTGAAATCACAAAAGTAATCCCTCCTGCAAGCAAGTCACTATACTATACTAATTCTTCAAGGAATCAAAACACTTAACATATACAAAATGTTCAAGAACAGAAATAAAAGGAAAAAAGGAATAGAAGTAAAATATTAGTGAAACTCACTCAACAATATATTAAAATATAAGTACCTATGGCCAAGCAGCATACAGCCCAGGAATTTAATCATATCTTAACATCAGGAAATTTATCTGTGTTAATGTCTACATTACCAGATTAAGAGGAAAAGAATTACACAAAAAAGAAGTAATAAAAGTTAATAACTAATTATGATAAAACTCTATTTTTTATCCATGTCTCCCTTGATATACAGATGAATTCTTTCATTATTGTTGTCATTTCTTTTTTTATCTGAGAGATTATTTCTGACCTGATTTCATTTATAGCCAGATGTAGTTGTTTTTTACTTCCGTTGCTATCATTTCAAAAATTTCAGGTGTGTGACTTCCAAGTTCTCCTATGCTGATGTCTCCTGGACTTGCTCTGGGTGGGGTGGAGGTCTGAGATTGCATTTCGTCCCTTTGTCTTTTAATTTTCAAAGAGGAGGTGGAGGGCTGAGCCTCGCCCCTCTCGGGCAGCTCACCAAAGGTCCCTGCGTTACCTGGAACTCAGAGTTGCTCCTGTGACGGTGACAGAAGCTAGAGTGTCAAGTCTGGCTCCTCCTGGACTCAAATTGTTGAAACAGCTCAGCTATGAAGGAAAACCCATTCGAATCATGGTAGATTTCTCAGTACAAACCATCAAGTCAAGAAGAGCTTGGAGTGAAGTATTTCAGTTCCTGAAAGAAAACAACTTCCAACTCAGATGAATGTATCCTACAAAGCTATCTTTCAAAACTGATGGAGAATTAAGATACTTCCATGAAAAAGAACAATTGAATAAATTCATGACCACCAAATCAACCTTACAAACAGTACTGAAAGATATTCTAGAAAGAGGTAAAAAAAAAAAGACCACAGTTCCAAGAACAGTGATAGAAAGGAACCATCAAGAGGAGCAATCAATTAAACAGAGAGGGAAAGTAGGGAACCAGCAGCAGGAAAATAACATGACAAAGATAAGCCAATACATATCAGTAATAACCATTAATGTAAATGACCTTAATTCACCAATCAAAAGAAACAGACTGGCAAAATAGATCAAGAAACAAAATCCAACAGAATGCTGTATACAAGAAAGGCATTTCACTCAAAAGGAAATTCATAGACTGAAAGTCAAAGGGTAGAAAACGATACTTTCTGCAACAGGAACCCAGAAAAAAAGCAGTAGTAGTTATTCTGATTGCAGACAATGTGAAATTCAAACCAAGAATGATCAAAACAGATAAAAAAGTTTACTACATACTTATTCAGGGAAAACATCAAAAGGAAGAGATAACAATCATAAATATATATGCACCAAAGGTAGGAGCATTAATTACATAAGACAAATATTAACAGACATGCAAAATCAAATAAGCAATAACACAGTTGTAATGGGGGACTTTAACATCCCATTCTCACAAAGAGATAGATCACCTAGGTGAAAAATCAGCAAAGAAATAACAGAACTAAACCAAACATGTGAAGAAATTAAACAATATTTACAATTAAATGTAAATGCAAATACAACTTATAGGAACCTGTGGGACACAATGAGAGCAGTCCTCAGAGATAAATTTATAGTGGTGAATTCTCACATCAGAAAACTAGTTGGAGCACAAATAAACAACCTTATGCTGCACTTAATGCTTCTAGAAAAATAAGAGCAAGTCAAACCCAAAGCCCAAGGAAGGGTGCAAATTATAAAGAACAGAGAAGAAATTAACAAAATGGAGACTAAAAAAAAAAAAATACAAAGAATTAATGAATTGAAGAGTTTATTCTTTGAAAGAATAAATAAAATTAATAAATTCCTAGCTAACTTTATCAAAAAAGGAAAGATAAAACTCAAATCTATGCAGTAATGAATGAAAAGAATGAAATGACTACAGATGTTTTAGAAATTCAGAAAATCATGAATACCTACTTTGAAAACTTTTACTCTCATAGGATGGAAAACAGAAGAAATGGACAGATTCCTAAATATATATCAATTACCAAAGCTGTATCAAGAAGATATAAAAATGCTGAGTAACCCTGTATCAGTCAACAAAATAGAAAACAAAATAAAAAACTTAACCAGCAAAGAAAGGCCCAGGTCCTGATGGATTCACATCTGAATTCTACAAGAAATTTACAGAAGATTTAATGCCAATTCTTTGCAAACTCTTTAATGAAATAGAAAGAGAAGGAGTCCTCCCTAACTCATTCCTGGAGGCAAGTATTACCCTGATACCAAAAACCAGAGAAAGACTCAACCAAAAAAAGAAAACTATGGGCCAATCTCCTGAATGAACACAGATGTGAAAATTCCCAATAAAATACTAGCTAATAGAATGCAGCAAATCACCAAGACATCATGACAAAGTGGAATTCATCCCACGAATGCGGGAAGGTTCACTATATGAAATTCAATAAGCTTAATACACCATATCAACAGAACCAAACATAAGAATCACATGATCGTCTCACTAGCAGTAAAAGTTTTCCACAAAGTCCAAGACTCATTCATGATAAAAACCCTACAGATAATCTGAATAGATGGTCTTTACCTCACTCTGATAAAAGCCATCTGTGACAAACCAACATCATACTACATGTACAAAAACTGAAAACTTTCACTTTAAAATCAGGAATACGACAAGGATGTTCACTGTCACCACTCCTATTCAACATAGCTCTGCAAATATTAACCAGAGCAATTAGACAAAACAGATAAATAAAAGGAATGAGAATAGGAAAGGAAAAGTAAAATTATCATTATTCTCAGATGACAACACTCAAAAATCCATAGCATTCCTGTACACAAACAGACAGAGAAAAATTAGGGAAACCACACCTTTCATAATAGCATCTAAAAAACTGAAATACTTAAGGATCAATCTAACAAAGGAAGTAAAAGATGTATACAGTGAAAATCACATTACTCTGAAAAAAGGGATTGAAGAGGATTTCAGAAAATGAAAAGATATT